TATATCTATGATGAAAATTACCGGCCTCTCTCATCTTTTTGAGCGGGAGAACTTGCACTATTGGTGGCTGACTAAATACTTTTTTGCCCCACAGTATAACGGTACAGGTCATTTACCAGTTTCCATTTGAACAGCTCCTTTATTGACTCATGGCTGAAAAGGGACGAGCCAGCCTTATAAAAAGCAGGATTCAGCCAAACACAACAGGGAGTGATTAAAGTGTTTATTTATAGAATACAGCAAGAAACTGGTCAGCAGATGAGAGAACAACCTCCGAGATGGAGAGATCGGCTGAGTGGCTGGATTTAGAAAAGCCGCCAACCTTCACAGACCCATGAGGAGGAGGAGGAAGATTTAGGTTCCTCTGCAGATCTCAGTGATGGTGATGTCACTGCGGGCTGGATGACTGAGAGTTTAGTGATGCTGAAACAGATGAACAGAGCAGTGCAGGCAGTCTGATTTGGTTTTCCAGGGGAGAAGCTTGTAGGTTCAGAGAAAGCATCAGAGCCGTAGAACCCGAGTCCACAGAGTGAAACCACCTTTTACCAAGCCGTTGTTATAAGGTGGCACATTGGATCTCTCCACGGCAAATGTTAAAATAATCAAAGACATAGTTCTTTCCATCCAGATGTTTTTATTTTGAGGTTTGAACCATGTGGATCATTCTGATCTAATAGAGATCGATCTATATTTCATTCCTCTCCGTCTGTTTGTTGTGTAAACTCCAGTGCCTCAATTTCAATCGTTCTATTTATTCACTTAAGCCACTGAACTCATCATTTAATCAATCTGCTTCATTCTATTTCTATTCTCCCACTCTGCAGAATCTATTAGTTCAATCTCTAACGTTCTACTCTCTCTGCTTTTTCTCATAGCAGTGTTAATTTTGTCAACGCCCCTTTTTCATTTGACAATGATGAGACCATGACGCACAAAAATTGTTTCCAGAAAATAAAAATAGGCCAAAAATGAAAAATTAATTTTTTAAATGAGACTAAGACAAGACAAAATTTAAAAGCCATGGATGCCTCCTCTGCTTCCAGAGGAGCTGCTGGCACCAGTGGCAGCAGAGGCACCACTGGCACCCTAGGCACCACTGGCACCAGAGGCACCAGTGGCACCAGTGGCAGCAGAGGCACCACTGGCACCCTAGGCACCAGTGGCAGCAGAGGCACCACTGGCACCAGAGGCACCACTGGCACCAGAGGCACCACTGGCACCACTAGCACCAGACTCGCTTCCTTCTGTGACTGGAATAGCTTTGACTGCTGGATCAAAATGTGGTCCTCCTGGCTGGTTCTTCACATTGATTTTGATTGGATAGGTTTGGAAATTTCCACTGGATCCACCGGTTCCAGAGGAGCTGCTGGAGCCACTGGCACCGCTGGCACCAGTGGCACCACTGGCACCAGAGGCACCACTGGCACCAGAGGCACCACTGGCACCACTGGGACCTCCTCCAAAACCAATACTAGCTCCACCATTGGGAATAGATCCGTCAAATAGGGGGGCCTTGTTGCGCACCGCTAGCCCTAGGTCCAGGGTTTTTACATCCTCGAAATCCACAGCCTGAAAAATAACAGAGAGAAACAAAAACTTGTGGAGTATTTACACTGTGGCATGTAGAAATAAACGCATTTGGCCTTGTAGTATCGATTCTGGCATCTGTACACCCTGGAGGCCAAGACCTGCTCTCCACCAAATCATTTTGAAAGGCAAGTTACACAATGCTAACATGGGGAGAAACAGCGCAGATGCAGATTACTTTTTTGTTATAAGTTTAATGAAATCTTTTGTCTATTTGCAGTTTTATAGGGATGTTCTTGATTCTGGGAATTTACATTTTCCAATCCATCAAAAATGAAAAGACTTGAACCTGAAGAGTACAGAAACTTTACACTTTCTCTTCTTTAAAACCAAATTCTTTCCAAGTTTTCCTCCTCCTTAAGTGTTTTGCCCTCTACTATTGATAAAGGAAGAGTAAGCAAGGCAATAAACATTGATGAAGCCCTATAATAATTTGTACTTTCAATGCATCTGATGTCAGAAATTTCTAGTTTATTGATTTTGTTTTTAAAGTTGATTTTAGATTTAAAGGGGGAAAGATAATGTTTGAAGCCAAGTTGTCTTAAAATTTGTCAAGTAGCTACTAGCGCTGGTTTCAAGTTTCACAATATTACTCAGTATGAAAAAGTAATTGTTCAAAAACTGCAGATTTTTGTAATACCATCAATAAGAGAAAGTGGTTAGACCTCATACCCCTGTTTAAACCCAGGAACATCCAGCTGTTAGGTACAGTGGGAATTGCTCACTGACTGGTTTCGACCGGGTCAAACGACTCGGAAAACAACCTGGGCTAAAATCGCCTTCAAACGGGTCCGCTCCATTTGGGATACAGTGGGAGCACCAGACCCAGGTCCATCCGCTAATTTATGTGATACCACTGAGCGCAACCAGCCTATGTCAAAACATTCCGTCAGTTGCGTCCAATATAGCAAGGCAAAACAACTCTGCTAGCATTCGATAAACATGAAGCAGCACTGGTAAGAGAGATAAGGAGGGACAAAATAGCCAAATAATACAGCACACTTACAACACCCTAGCTTCCTTAAGCAGGGCATACACTGCAGGAGTTTTTGCCCTTTTTGGGCCAATTTTCCAGTCCTGCGAGAAATTTTGGGATCGGGCAGGGTTTCGGCCTCATCGTTCATCCTGCAATCAGCCTCTCACGGCCACCTCCCGATCGGCAATCTTAGGCCGCCCTCGTGAGGAGTTCATGGGCAAATCCTGCTATGGAAGCAGAGCTATGAGTGTCTAAGAGCTGATTTACCAGAACTTTGCGTATTGCGCATGTGCAAACAAGGGAATTCTTCATCTTTTAGATTGCAGAGTCCGACCAACTCAATCTCTCAGCGCTGAGTTGAACATCTATTTTTTGGACGTAAAGTGTGTGCAGGTAGATCACATCAGAGCATGGGGTTGTATAAGTTAAGAACAGTCAGAGGAGTGTTGACCTAGTGGTTAGAGCAGTGGGCTGTGCTCTGAGACGGTTGTAAGAAGATTGTAAGTAGTTTGATCCCCAAAGACTGCCACTCTGGGTCCCTGAGTAAGACCATTAATCACACTCTGCTCCCCTAGTGCCGCACAATGGCAGCACACTGCTCCCCAAGGGGAGGGGTTAGATACAGAGAGTGAATTTCTCCATTGTGAAATCAACCAAGTTCAATTTCTATTTCTAACAGATTTTGTGAGCCGTCAACTTCTAAACCCTGTAGTTTCGTTGTA